GGGCAGATTTCCGGGTGTTATAGAAAAGATTCAGGGCGTTATGTACAGACAAGGATATGGAAGGATATGAGTAAAGTGGAGGTAAACCTAAGCGTTGGGTAACAATGAAAGAGATAGCATCGCTGGAGGCATCAATTGAGTCGGTCTCCGCGTGTATAGGGGGAGGGGCAAATGAGCTATCTAAGGCAGGTTTAGCTACGCTGGGGGGTCTACAGTGATATAGTACAATTAGAAATAACCGAAACAACAATAAACTAACCATGTTTGGGCTGAGGCTAAACATAGACAGGATGTAGTACCGTAAAAAAGAACAGTCCAGCAGACATCAGCTGTATAGCTGAGTTATCATAAGGTCCGGTGGTAAAGCACTAGTGAGTAAGAGGCCACGGCTAGCGTGTGCTAGCGGGCCGGGGCTAGCAGAGGTAACTCTGGGTCTTCCATTCCTGTGGCGGTCCTCATGAGAGCCAGTTTCATCATAGTGCTTGATGGTTTTTGCGACAGCACTTTTAGAAACTTTGAAAGTTCTTGAAATGTTCCGTATTGACTGACCTTCATGTCTTAAAGTAATGATGGACTGTCGTTTCTCTTTGCTTATTTGAGCTGTTCTTGCCATAATATGGACTTGGTCTTTTACCAAATAGGGCTATCTTCTGTATACACCCCCTACCTTGTCACAACACAACTGATTGGCTCAAACGCATTAAGAAGGAAAGAAATTCTACAAATTAACTTTTAAGAAGGCACACCTGTTAATTGAAATGCATTCCAGGTGACTACATCATGAAGCTGGTTGAGAGAATGCCAAGCGTGAGTAAAGCTGTCATCAAGGCAAAGGGTGGCTATTTGAAGAATCTCAAATATTAAATATATTTTGATTTGTTTAACACTTTTTTGGTTACTACATGATTCCATATGTGTTGTTTCATAGTTTTGATGTCTTAACTATTATTCTACAATGTAGAAAATAGTAAAAATAAAGAAAAACCCTTGAATGTGTAGGTGTTCTAAAACTTTTGACCGGTACTGTGTATATATATATAAACTTGATTTCTTGGTTATATTGTCTACTGGCTTATCAGAATTGTTAAATGCAAAAGAAGATTCCTGGGATCTAATGGGTTACATCGCAATCATATAGTATATCACAAGCTCATAGCATACAGTCGGGAAGCGCGCAGCGTGCGCGAGGCAAATATGAAATGGCTGATTGCAGGTGTCAGTGAGAAGCATTTAAAATAGCCCTAGGCCCAGTGGCAACCCGTAATTTTTTGGGATTGCCTGTTTTGCATGTTATTTTGACATTAATACGTGTCACATATCAGTTTGCAAACAATTTTTTAAAAATCAAAAATTATAATTGAGTTACAAACTTGGTCTCTTTTTTGCTTTCTTGAGTAAGGCAGCTCCAAAATGCAGGTGTTTCAGCCTAGCTCAGTGCTTTCTGTGGTGGTGGGGCAGCCAGCGGAAAATACGGAGTGTAGGGGTTGGTAATGTTCTCTAGTTGCGCCGTGATTGAGTAATGTTCTCTAGTTTCACCGTGATTGGCTCAGTGTTCTGTCACTCATGGCGACACTACGTCACCACCACAATTCAAGCCCCTTGGGTGCTGCCATATAGTTACATTAGAAGTGCCCATCCAAGAAGGCTCAAGGTCATTGGCCACAGATAAAATTACGTTATATCTACAGTAGCTTTGATTGGACATATCATGTCAACATCATACTTTCAAAATCTTAGCTAGCAAGCTAGCAGTCATCATCATGAATCAAGTCAACAATCTACTGGCAAATGCTTTTTAATCCTTGTCATATGAAGATAAATAATAGATCAAACGTATCGGTGCTCATCGGCCATTGGACATAAACATTACACAACAAGTTGGAAACCGCAAATTCAACAATGAGTGGTTTGGAAGGAATTAGTGGCTAACTGCAAGCATTGCAAAGCAATCACTAGCCTGCTATTCAGTGGAGTGGGTTTGTGGTTCCAAGTCTGGGTTTAAGGATCTCTTTTCCAAGCTTAAAAGGATAAACATTTAACATTGGCCATGCTGTCAATCCAGAATGACTTCTGCCGCGCTCAAAACAACTGTAAACTCAGAACTGGAAAATCTGACTTCAGTGAGTTCAAGACAACTGGGAACTCTGAAAAAAACGAGTTAATCCAACTCGGAATTGCAAGTCGGGAAATCGGGCCTCTTTCTAGAGCTCCGACCTGAAGATCACTGACGTCATCATGATTCAACCTTGTTTTTTTCAGAGTTCCCAGTTGTCTTGAAAGCACCATAAATCCAGAGAATGCCAGACTTTGATGACAAAATTTCCCACAGAGGACCACCGCGCCACCTTCCTGTTCAAGTGAGCACAGCACAACAAGGTGAGTCCAAAAATGTATTGTATGCTGCTGCATAAATGATGTAATATGCCAGGGATATATTTATACTGTAGCTAAGAAAGTAATACTAAGTGTATGTTGTGTAGTAAGCTGTTAGCAGCCTATGTGCCTCACCCTAATAATTGGGTCCCTTTTCCCCCCTCTTAATTTCACCTACTGTTCTGACTTGGAACATGTAGCCTATAGCCTGTTTTAGAGAAATGTAATCATCGAATATTGTAAGAGCTTTTATTGTCTGCTTATATGGCCCCTTTATTTATCCTACGGTTCTGACTTGGTGTACAGGGAGAATACTGTAAGAACGGCCCATGTTCTGAATTCTGTCACTGTACATTTCAAAAGTGCTGAACAAATAGTTATATTGACTACGTCCATCCTAGCTCGCTCATGAATGTCTTAATCGAAATTACGGATTGGCTCTTATCCTCTCGTCGTCCCCTTATGCCGTAGTTTGTACATCTCAATTGTCAGTAGAAACCACATTTGTTTAAGCAAGTCAGCCATATCAGCTATGCTTTTTTTAAAGGCAGTAAATGAGGCTGAATGAACTGTTTCACTGCCAGACAAGGCTCCGCTGATAGCCAGCTGTAGCAGTGGTAAGGTGTTGGGACTGCTGTTGGGACTCTGCTGTTAGGACAGCTTTATGTAGGCCCTAACAGTTTGTGGGCACCGTTTGAGTGCAATTAATGTATAGTTTAGTGTTTTGTGTTGTGTTGTGGCTTTGCTGGCATGCATTAAAAAATATACCAAAAATGCTTGCCCCACCAAGATTTACATGCTAAAATCGCAACTGCCTAAATTCAATCATGGGAAAGACACAAGTCATTCTGAATGATCCTTTAAAATGATTTAAGCCTGTAGTGTAGTTTATTCCCATTAGCAGGCTACAACAGGACTAATATCTTTGCACTAGTGGGCACACAAATCCAAAATAATAAATGTGATTGCAAAATTGTGGTTACACATGGTCTGCGGTTGTGAGGCCGGTTGGACATACTGCCAAATTCTCTAAAATGACATTGGAGGCATCTTATGGTAGACAGATTAATATTAAATTATCTGGCAACAACTCTGGTGGACATTCCTGCAGTCAGCATGCCAATTGCACACTCCCTCAAAACTTGAGACATCTGTGGCATTTTGTTGTGTGACAAAACTGCTTAAGAGTGGCTTTTTATTGTCCCCAGCACAAGGTACACCTGTGTAATGATCATGCTGTTTAATCAGTTTTTTGAGATGCCACACCTGTCGGTGGATGGATCTTGGCAAATTAGAAATGCTCACTAACAGGGATGCAAAAAAAATTGTGTACAAAATTTGAGATAAATAAGCGTTTTGTGCATATGGAACATTTCTAGGATATTTTATTTCAACTCACTTTACATGTTGCATTTATATTTTTGTTCAGTGTAATTTATCGATAGGGTCCATGTGACATTTTAGCTAACATTTCATCACAGCTACAGTATCAATGCCGATACAACAACCGTCATATGTTGTTTGGCTTTAAAATGTTCTAACATGGGCTTTAATGTGGATTGTGGAGAAACTGGGACATCATCGGGTTCACACGGAGCCACTGCATGTTTGTCATCATGCGCACGGCGGCATCACACCAGCGGCTTCCCCTCCATCGTCCTCCTGTAAAATTCGGGTCGGGAACACCCCTCCCCCCGATTACCCTCTGCAAACCGCAAGCCAAGGACACCAACAACGTCTCCAGGGCAACGAGGAAATAATTACGAATAAAGGTTATACATTGTAACTACTCTCAGGGGATGGTGGCTTCCGGCTATGCAAAATATTACCCTTTGATACAAAGTATCACATTTACAGTATGGCTGCCTACCTTTCTCTGCCATGAGTGTGAAAGATGTAACAGTTTCACGCAGTTTCCTGTATCATGCATGTCACTTGTGCAACGCCAATTTGTTTTACATTCAATTACTATTCGCTCCGTGGAAGAAGGCTACAGAAATATATATGCGTTTTGTTAACGTTGAGTTAGAGCGGATGCTAAGGCTAATTAGGCTACATGTTGCTATAGGCTATGTATAGGCTATCTTGTTGAGTCGGCTCTCGTCTCTGTAGCGCGCCCTCCCTCCCTACATTCTACAGCTCTAAAACTTTCCTGTCTCAAAAAGATTTCCTCCCTGTTTTTTTTACTTCCTGTTTTCTACGGGAGTCACATAGTACAATTTCCTTTCATTTCAACTTTTCCCCTCTTCTGTATGTTCCTCCTTTTCTTTTTATTTATTCGCGCGCTACATGGTTTCTCACAAGTTTTGTCGAACACACGCCCAGAATCTTCTCTTTTTGCGGAAGACTTGGAAATGCAGAACTCGTTCAACTTCGGTCCCGATGGATTTTACGTAGATTGTTTTTGTTTTTGATGTAGTCCTTTTTCTATAACAATTTTTTTCTATGGTGTTTTCTTCGTAATGCCACTCTGGAAGTAGTTGCCCAAACTAAGGTCCTTTCTACAAAGTAACAAACTAGCATGTCGACAGCTAACTCATTAGCTATTAGCTAGCTAATTTGGCAATTTTATTCGCTTAAACAACGGTTGTTGTTGCGCTTTCATTTATCCCTCCCTGGAAGTTATAATGGCCCAATTCCAGCGCCCGACACTGTGTTGCTGCCGCAAAGTGCTCACAGTGCCTAGCAAGTCGTGTGAAGGCGGCCAAGGTCTGGGTCAATGTCGCCTTGTCGACATCGCCTCTGCGTCCAACTTCCACTGCTTCAAGCTTCGCCACTTCCATCTCGACCTCCGCCTCAACTTTGCCGTAAAGGAGATCACTGGGTGGCAAGTCCTGGAACTGGTGGCTATCCAACCAGGAGTGCAGACTTTGGTTTTGGACACTCACCCATCCTTGCTAATTCATTCCATAGACTGCAAGGTGCCTGGCACCACCGGTGCCCAGGACATTTCCCCGTCGCTCACGTACCGGGTAGACCCATTCACAGACTATGGATCCTCGCTGAATATCAGCCTCCCAGCCTCTGTGATACGGCTGCATCGGGCTTTCCAGATCACCGTTCGCTACACCACGACAGACGGTCCAGCGGTAAGGTCACTTTAAAGGTTCAGGCTACTGCACAGTTAAATTGAGCTTAGGAGCATTTTTAAACTCTCCATTGTTAAAGTAGTAAGGCTTACTAAGTAAGTAATAGATGTAGTTGTAAAAATGTACTGTGCTTCATTGTCATATATTATTTTATATTACGCCAATTTGCCCAATGTGGACAGTTTGTGTTACGACATTACACAAGCTCGCATTTTTACCACATAACATTTTGTGGAATTTTGCTTCATATTGGTGATGTTGATATAAAAGTTTATAGTCATCACAAATACATTAAATTGATTGCTTTAAACAGATTCATATATTTGGTTTGGTACTGTTGATTTTGTTATACGTACCTGTATGTCGCAGGACTTAGAACGGCATTATAATTTTTAAGCTGGAAATGGCACAGAACATTTGTGGCGCTCTCTGTATAAAAGCCGATAGCCGCACACCAATACACCGATTTTAAGAGTCAAACTATCACTTAAATAACAGCCAACCCTTATCAGTGTTGATATCCTATGCTGGGTGGTGATTTGTTGAAGTTAAATAACAAAGCAACTGATTTGTTTCTGCCCCGTTTCGGCAGCCTCCCAGAAACTCCATCCAACATTCTAGAATGTAGATGACTGTCTTCAACAAATTCTCTTCTAACTAGTGATGTAGAATATCTGGGGAAGGGTACCAAAACATTTCTGCAACATTGAAGGTCCCCAAGAACACAGTGGCTTTCATAATTCTTAAATGGAAGAAGTTTGGAACCACCAAGACTCTTCCTAGAGCTGGCAGCCCGGCCAAACTGAGCAATCTGGGGAGAAGGGCCTTGGTCAGGGAGGTGACCAAGAACCCGATGGTCACTCTGACAGAGCTCTAGAGTTCTTCTGTGGAGATGGGAGAACCTTACAGAAGGACAACCATCTCTGCAGCACCCCACCAATCAGGCCTTTATGGTAGAGTGGCCAGACGGAAGCCACTCCACAGTAAAAGGCACATGACAATCCACTTGGAGTTTGCCAAAAGGCTCCTAAAGGAGTCTCAGACCAAGAGAAACAAGATTCTCTGGTCTGATGAAACCAAGATTGAACTCTTTGGCCTGAATGCCAAGCGTCATGTCTGGAGGAAACCTGGCACCATCCCTACGGTGAAGCATGGTGGTGGCTGCATCATGCTGTGGTGATGTTTTTCAGCGGCAGGGACTGGGAGACTATTCAGGATCGAGGGGAAAGATGAACGGCACAAAGTACAGAGAGATCCTTGATGAAAACCTGCTTCAGAGCATTCAGGACCTCAGACTGGGGCGATGGTTCACATTCCAACAGGACAACAAACCTTAGCACACAGCCAAGACAACACGGGAGTGGCTTCGCGACAAGTCTCTGAATGTCCTTGAGTGGCCGAGCCAGAGCCTGGACTTGAACCTGATCGAACATCTCTGGAGAGACCTGAAAATAGCTGTTCAGCGACGCTCCCCATCCAACCTGACAGAGCTTGAGAGGATCTGCAGAGAAGAATGGGAGAAATTCCCCAAAGACAGGTGTGCCAAGCTTGTAGCGTCATACCCAAGAAGACTTGAGGCTGTAATCGCTGCCAAAGGTGCTTCAACAAAGTACTGAGTAAAGGGTCTGAATACTTATTTTAAATGTGATATTTCTGTTTTTTATTTTTAACACATTTGCATACATTTCGAAAAACCTGTTTTTGCTTTGTCATTATGGGGTATTGTGTGTAGATTGATGAGGGGGAGAAAAACAATTTAATCAATTTTATAATAAGGCTGTAACGTAACAAAATGTGGAAAAAGTTAAGGGGTCTGAATACTTTCCAAATGCACTGTAGTTGTAATAATATAATAATAATATGCCATTTAGCAGACGCTTTTATCCAAAGCGACTTACAGTCATGCGTGCATACATTTTTGTGTATGGGTGGTCCCGGGGATCGAACCCACTACCTTGGCGTTACAAGCGCCGTGCTCTACCAGCTGAGCTACAGAGGACCACGGACTACAGTTGTCCGGTTTATCAGGTCCCAGGCTCCATTACTGTTCTGATTTATTTATTTACAAGTTGTACCTGATAGAGCAGATCTAGTCTTGCGTGTGAACGTAAGCCGTCTGGCGCGAGAGACTCATTGGGAGGGAGACTAGAGCAGGCCCAGAAGTTCTGACTGAACGGACTCACATTTAAGTGCCCCAGGGTGGTCCATTTACTTTGTGCTGTTGTAATTTATGCTATGAAATCCTGGGATTTCATTGGGGCAGTTCCCCCTCATAGCAAATAGCTGGCAAAACAATCCAAGCAATGTTCGCACAGCCTATGCACCAACGGAAGCGGAGCTGCTGCTGGCAGAGTAGTAAGTAACTGAACAACTTGTTTTGAACAATATAATTTATATTGAAACTGTACTTTTATGAGCATTTAAAACATAATCCATGAATTATTTAATTTATATATATATATATATATATTTATTTATTTATTTATTATACACATAATGGGTGGCCCGCCGGTGGTGCATACACCCCAAACTTTTGCCTCCAGTTCTATTGATTGCAATGTGATATCCATGGACGTGATTAACAAAAAACAAATTGCGTTACACTTACCACGTTGGCGACCCACTTGAATCAAAATGCAACACTTCAAAATGTGGCTAGGTGTCTTCTACAATTTGTCCTCTAACCAGTGATGTACACATTATTCCCAGATTCCGTCTGGTTTTTGAGCTGTGTTAGTTTTATCACAAACGATTTCTGCATATTGGTTATTGATTTGGACACGTTAAAACTGTGTTTTGACATTGGGCTATTTATCAAAATGTCTTGTCAACAGGAAGCAGTGACAGCATCATTTACAACTTAAGGTTTAGGAACATTAATTGAACTTTTAACATTAATTTCCAATGGTAAAAACTGCAGAATGAGTCCAGAAACTAGCTGTGATTTGATTTATTTTGATGATATACCAGAAATCACCAAAACGGGTTTGACCTGCCTAACATTGGTGACAGCTGGGGTAGCTGGCAAAACATTGATGTTGGTTAGCCTAATTATAAACACATTTGCATGTGCCCATTGTTGATTAATAACATGACAGAACAATTTAATCTAAATCTAAATTCATACCTAAAAAGAGGCCATTAAAAAAAAACATGTATTAATTTATTATTAGTCTGTCATGATACCCAAGTTTCCCACTTGGGAAGTATCAGAATCAACCAATAGGAAGCTCTCTGCAAATATCTTGCGTTCATTTTAAGTCTGAGTGGGCGAGTTTCCGACATTTTATGAACGAGGCATAATTTCACCTCTTAGACTGGAGGCCCATTACCCTATCCTTAATATTCTAAGTTCTGTGCTGTGTAGGCTACCTGCAAAAGGAACATACTGTATGTTATTACAGCTGTCAGTCTGGCATGGGATCAATGGAGTTTCCCCATGCAAAGCCTGTCACATAGGTCATGGGAGGTTAAATTATTTTTCATAGGGGTCAAATTATGATTTCCATATCGACCGTCAGCCCCTATACCAGTGTTTCCCAAACTCTATCCTGGGGACGCCAAGGGGTGCATGTTTTTTATTTTTTTTATCCTAGCGCTACACAGCCGATTCCAATAATCAAAGCTTGATAATGAGTCGATAAAAAAAATAATTCAGCTGTATGTATTGCTAGGGTAAAAAACAAAATATGCACAGTCAAACATTTATTCTAACGCCAAAATTGACATCAAGGCAGTCTCGTCTAAAACAGAGTTTGAAATCTCAGTGCGTCACAACAAGTAAATTAAGGTTGGGTTTGGATTACAATTATGTCAACAAATCATGCCCCCTTTTGCCAAGCTCCACGTGCAAATCGCCCCTCCGCCCACTTCGCTTCCCTTCATTGAGGGAGTTCTATTACGCTGGCCCGGGTTGAACCAAGCAATGGCCCGTCACGTCATCGGGCGAAAGTGGGGAGGGGAGGAGCGCCATTCTCAAATCAAACAGTAGGCTAATCTGCGCTGCTCGGTCATGTTGTCAACAAGTCAGCTAGGTGCATCGTTCAGAATCAAATAAATGTTTGAATTTTCATACTAGTTTTCATTGGGAAGGCATTCACAATTGCATGTGAAAACACAGAATCCTAGTCATCACTCCACGTGCTTGATTACGTCACATTTGTTTTGAGCTGACTTCACCGTCGGCCAGAGCGGGGCTCCTGGCTCACGCCCCGGAGCCAGCCCAGTTGCAAAATGAATGCAATCACCGGCCAGATAAATGAACCCCCTCATTTAATGGGGCTCCGTTGTTTCATCGCCCCCAAACTGTTCAAATCAAAGGATCACGGCCATTTGAGACTGAAAAGTGAGTATACCGGTAGCTAGACCATAGACTGCTGGTTATGTATCTGGTTATGCATATTTTGATAATCATTATCACTATCATAGCTAGCATAGCTGACGTTAGCTAGCTACCTAGCTACCTAACTAGCTAGCCATCTATACTGAACAAAAATATAATCGCAACAATGTAAGTGTTGGTCCCATGTTTCATGAGCTGAAATAAAAGATCCCAGAATTTTTCCATATGCACAAAAATCCTACATTTTGTGCACAAAGTTGTTTACATCCCTGTTAGTGAAGATTTCTCCTTTGCCAAGATTATCCATCCACCTGACAGGTGTGGCATATCAAGAAGCTGATTAAAAAGCATGATCATTACATCTATTGCTGGGGACAATAAAAGGCCACTCTAAAATGTGCAGATTTGTCACACAACACAATGCCACAGATGTCTCAAGTTTTGAGGGAGCGTGCAATTGGCGTAATGACTGCATGAATGTCCACCAGAGCTGTTGCAAGAGAATTGAATGTTAATTTCTCTACCATAAGCCACCTCCAACATCGTTTTAGGGAAACCGGCTTCACAACCGCAGACCACGTGTAACCACGCCAGCCAAGGACCTCCATATCCGGCTTCTTCACCTGCGGGATCGTCTGAGACCAGCCACCCAGACACCTGATGAGTATTTCTGTCTGTAATAAAACTCATTCTGATTGGCTGGGCCTGGCTCCTCAGTGAATGGGCCTGGCTCCGAAGTGGGTGGGCCTATGCCCTCCCAGGCCCACCCATGGCTGCGCCCCTGCCCAGTCATGTGAAATCCATAGATTAGGGCCTAATGAATTTATTTCAATTGACTGTTTTCCTTATATGAACTGTAACTCAGTCAAATCATTGAAATCATTGCATGTTGCGTTTTATATTTTTGTTCAGTAAAACTAGCTAGCTAGCTGGCTAATGTTAGCCTACCTTAATACAACTCTGATTTGGCTTGGAAACACAACAACATTTCAAACAAAGTAAAAAAAAAGAAAAAAAAGAAAGGAAAACCTTATGTTATGATTGTGATGTCGCCAGAACATTAGCATTGCTAGCTATTTTTGACTGACTTTGCTAGCTAGTAACAGTAATGGCAACATTTGCCATCTCTCTAAAGTAAATATGACGACATCATAATATGGCAAAGTTGTTTCCTGCTAATGATTTGCCTACTTTAGCAATGTCATCGTATTTCCATGCCACTCTAAATTAGTATAATTTAGAGAAAACAGTCACATTAGCCTCCAAGGTGCAACCCATGTCTAGGGCACAAATATATATTGGCTGCAGCTATGGTGGTACTAGCTAACTCATGTCTAACTACAACAGTGTACTAAATAGCAGCAACAAACTCAAACCAACCCATGGCCACATTGGTTGCATAGTGTAAGGGCGTCACCGGCCTCAATCTAATCCAATCTGGAGCCAGTCAGTCTACATCTGTGAAGTATAGAAATAGCTTCCAAACGCGATTACGTTATTTCTTAAGCTATGTTAATAATTGAGGGACGATGATAATCTTTGACCCTGTTTTTCTGTTAGACCAAGTGCACATATTATGTCCAGGACATAACCTAGCCTGGTGGAACCAGTCTGATCGCTGTGTTCACCATTCTATTTCACATCACATGTAATAGAAAGGTGAACGCAGCGATCAGGTTGGTTCCATCAGGCCACTCATAACCACCATTTATATAATGTAATCAGTGCTCTGTGTGTTTGTGTGTGACCGACCAGTGTCTTTGAGGGATCAGGAGCTGATCTTCGCATCTATGCCCATCAGAGGGTAGTGCGTACGGCCCAGTACATCACTGGGGCCAAGCTTCCTGCCATCCAGGACCTCTATACCAGGCGGTGTCAGAGGAAGGCCCTCAAAATTGTCAAAGACTCCAGCCACCCTAGTCATAGACTGTTCTCTCTGCTACCGCACGGCAAGCGGTACCGGAGTGCCAAGTCTAGGTCCAAAAGACTTCTCAACAGCTTCTACCCCCAAGCCATAAGACTCCTGAACAGCTAATCATGGCTACCTGGACTATTTGCACTGCCCCCCCACCCCATCCTTTTTACGCTGCTGCTACTCTGTTAATTATTTATGCATAGTCACTTTAACTCTACCCACATGTACATATTACTTCAACTACCTCAACTAGCCGGTGCCCCCGCACATTGACTCTGCACCGGTACCCCCCTGTATATATAGCCTCCCTACTGTTATTTTATTTTACTTCTGCTCTTTTTTTTCTCAACACTTTTTTTGTTGTTGTTTTATTTTTATGCACTGTTGGTTAAGGGCTGTAAGTAAGCATTTCACTGTAATGTCTGCACCTGTTGTATTCGGCGCATGTGACCAATAACATTTGATTTGATTTGATCAATGGGGCTCTGGCAAAGACCTCACCTCAATGGGGAGAACAGAATTAGGTAGGTTTAGTCTGACCTGTTCAAACTTCAACATAGTATATGTTTATGTGTCAGATATCACCTATCCCTAACTGCCATTGGTAATAGAACAGTGACTATGTGTGTATGTGTTCACAGAAACATGTATGGAGCCAGCACATGGAGATGATTTGATGAAGTCCAGACGGGCTTGATCTTTATGTCTCTGAATGGAGATTGTCCATTCAGAGAAATTTTTACTAGACACAACTTTTACTTGCATTATCTTTTTTTATTATTGAATTGATTGATATCAGGGAACTCCTGTTCTATACGAGACACCACACAGGAAGATACTGTATGACCACTGACATGTTTGCCAAGGTAGCCCCATTATCACCAGACAAAATGCCGATAGGCACAGTAACTATCGGCTGGGAATGACAATGAAATATGAAAGGTGCACATTGTTACATTAGCAGAACACTGCTTCAATGGTATTATGTAAAGGGTTGTTTATTCTACATGGACCTGTTACTACATTTGAAAGTTATCACAACATTTAGTTTAGAATCTCTACATAAATTCAGCAATTGCATTCTTCTCATATTACTCGGTAGGCTACTGACCTGTTCGATGCTTCCTCCAGCATCTCACCATACATCTGTCTGTAGTTATTGAACTCAACGTGCAGGAGGTTTGTTTGTTGTGAATGAGTGGGGAAACAGCCAGGCCCACCCTTGCCTTCACCCCTGAATGGTTGTGTGCCATGTCTATCATGTTAAACACCTATCGAGGATTGTGAGATCTGGCATGCGTCTGCAATGTAGTCAGCCTGGAACCCATAATTTACTATTTTCTTTATGTTGTCTGCAATGTATCTTTAAAGGACAGTTTACTCTAAAATCAGTCTGTCACGCATTTTCAGTCATCAGAAGTGGTCTAATGTTGATACATGTCCATGTCGCACGGCATCCGTTGCATTGAGCTATATGCCAAATGAAATGGAAAGATAGGCTTGTAGTCTAATTTACTAATTTAATCCGGTGTCTATATTTTCGGTATATAGCTGGAAATACACAAAGCTTGGGATGTGGACATGTCTCGACGTTCGACCAAACTTTGAGAGTGAACTATCACTTTAAGTTGAACAAATTGATGTTTCTGATTGGTTCCTGGGCCCTCTAGATCTGGTGGCTGGACGCAGAGCTGACGTGTGGTCAGACGCGCCCGCTAGTCTTCACTCAGGGCCACTCTGTCTGCAACCGCTCCTTCTTCCCCTGCTTCGACACACCCGCTGTCAAGAGCACCTACACCGCTACTGTCAGGGTGAGTGTCCATGTCACACCTCTAGTGCCGGTTTCCAGAGAAACCTGACCCTATTGTTTTGATATTGACATAACATAAATCGGTGTTTTAAAATGTTAATGTAATACACATCAGCTGTTGAGCGCCTACACCGTTACCATCAGGGCAAGTCGCCTCTCAAACCTGCGTCGTGTTGATGTAGCAAATGTTTATTTTTATTTAACCTTCTCAGGGAATCATACTGAGACCAAGGTCTCTTTTACAGATGAGCCCTGAATTACATAAATGACTGAAAATACACACATCAAAATATATATACAAAATGCAAGCAGAAAGAAAGAAAAACACTGTCATAAAAAACAAACACATTCATCAGTAATAAGATCCTCAATCAGCTTTCTGAATTGCCCTAGAGGCACCAGAATATCAAATTTAAGGACATTTTGAAGATTGTTCCACAAGTAAGGTGCACGAAAACTAAAAGCTGATTTACCTAACTCAGTAGAGACCAAAGGAATTTCCAGAGTTAGCCATCCCTGAGACCGGGTGTGGTAACTTGTATGTCTAAAGTTTAGTAATGATGTTAGCTACAGTGGGAGTTTTTGTAAAAGGGCTTTATAAATGAAAACATAGCAATGTATCAACTTACGTGACATCAAAGAGATCCAACCAACTTTCTGGTAGAGAATGCAGTGATGAGTACTAAAACTGATACCCATAATAAAGCGCATTGCGCTACGGTAAACTGCATCTAACGGCTTTAATGAAGTAGCAGCTGCGTTCATATAGATTAAGTCGCCATAGTCTAGGACCTATAGGAACGTCGACTCAATAATCTGCTTTCTATTATTTAGCGAGAGGCAGGTCCTATTTCTATAGAAGAAGCCCATTTTTATTCTCAGCTTATTAACTAACTCATCAATATGCTTTTTAAAAGACAGCTTTTCATCTATCCAGATGCCCAGATATTTGTAAGCACGGACACGATCAATATGGACACCATCCAAAGTACATGTGCTTAAATCATCAGACTTATTTTTATGCGCTCTAGAGAACAACATATACTTAGTTTTACCTGCGTTCAATACTAATATCTGGTAAATAATTGTTTTCTGTAATACAACGAAGACAGACTGTAGTTCAGATAGAGCCTGGTCAACCGTGGGGGCAATAGTATACACAACAGTATCATTGGCATACAAGTGCAGGTACATATTTTTTTACAGACAAGTTGATATTGTTAATGTTAAACAGTAAAAAGTACAGGACCCAGAAACGACCCCTGGGGGACACCTTTCGTAATATCCAGGAAACCTGATTTAACACCATAAGTAGATATACATTGAGTTCTATCGTCAAGTAATTTTTAAACCAGTTACATGCAGCCTGTTCTAGGCCAGTTGCGGAAAGCCTCTGAATTAGCAGTGAGGGATCAACAGTATCAAAAGCCTTTGACAAGTCAAAGGCCAGCACAATGTTGCCTTTAATCCATACAGTTAACCACATCATTTATAACTAGGGATGCAACAGAGATAGTGCTACGACCTGGTCTAAAACCCAGCTGATGTTCATTTAGAATACATTTCAAAGATAAGAAAGATCTTAGCTGAGAATTAATCAAAGATTCTAATATTTTAGCTGGACAAGAAATTTTAGAAATAGGCCGATAATTATTTAGGTCACAAGGGTCAGCACCTTTGAAGGGGGAGTACATGGGCCGCCTTCCAAACCTTGGGGATAGTACCAGATATAATTGTCAGGTAAAAAATATGGGTTAATGATTCAGCAATCAGGGGGGCAGAGAGCTGCAGCAAAAATGGATCAAGCATATCAGCTCCAGTGGATTTTTTTTTACATCAATCTTAAGCAAGGCATCTAGCACATCACAGATAGTAAATTGTTGAAATGAAAACAAAGATTTACTAGAAGTTGACAGGTTAACCGTCGAGTCAGCTAGAGGCTGGCAGAGGGTAGAGCAGTCGATTGACTGACCAGGGACAACTACACCACCGTTTCTCTCAAATAGAAAGCCTGCAGAGATAAAATGATGATTAAAAGCTCAACTTATCCCATTCTTCTCAGTTATGATCCAGAGTCAGACAGAACTTGCTTAGGCAGGTAAGAAGAGGAATTTGTACGCTTCAGTGCGTTTTCCAAAATGTAGAAGGATCACCAAAGATAGAGCTTAAAAAGTAGCTTGATTTAGCATTGTTAATCGAGATGGTACATCTGTTTCTCAATTGTCTGAAAGATTGCCAGTCCACTACAGAGTCAGTTGTCCTGAATTGTTTAAAAGGGGCATGTTTTTCTGCCAGAGGAATAAATATGGAGGATACATTTTCTAGAGCCAACTCAGGGTCAGGAATACAGGAGACAGTGGCTAAATCAGAGTAGAACATGTAAAAACCCTTGAGCAGAACACTTTTTAAAATGTCTCTTCTTAATTAAACAAGGATTAGTATTTTGCTGTTTCGTATCTCTAATATATACTATGGGACAATGATCACTGAGATTATATTAAAATACTCCACTAGACAAATATTTATGGGGGTTATTAGTAAGAATTAAATCAATCAATGAAAAGTTAACAGGGTTTTTCACATTTAGCCGTGTGGGTTTTGAGATCAATTGAGTCCGATAAATATCAATACATATACTCTTAAATTGATCTGAGCTCGGGGATAGCCAATCCAGATTCAAATCCCCTAAAAAACTGAACAGAAAAGGGGTTAAACACTCAGAAATAGCACCAATAGCATCCGCCATGGCGAATTCGATAGCTCAAATGGTTGGTAAGTTGTCACGGAGGGCGGTCACGTGTGTTTGCAAGCAGAGGATCACTGGTTTGAGCCCGGAATGGGAACAGGGACAGTGGAGGAAGCTATACTGTTAGCAGCACACTGACGTCCGTTTCACTAACAGATGTGAGAAAGCGAGGGTGTGTTTGCTAGCCCACGGTGTCATGACGTCATTCACCCTCCCTGTCCCTAAGACCTGAACTACTACAAAGGGTCCGCGTCCAGGGTCGGTCATACCGGGAATTAAACAAGGCGTTACATACAATAGGCATAAAAGTGGGGGGAAAAAACAAAAAGTATTTTGTTTGTTCAAGTAATACCTTGTGTCATTTCAATGTGTTCTCTTGTTTTGTGCCTATGGAAGAAACAGTGGTGTAGTGCAGTGGCGTGTCCAGAACATTTTGAATGGGTTGGCCAAGGTGGGGCACTGACCCAGTTTAGGGGGCCATAAAATGTTGAACCTTAATCGATGCAAGGTGGATTTTTTCAATATAATTATAGTGGTTCAATGCGTTAAATGCTTCAGCTTACGTTTGGTACGTTCCCCTGTTCAAATAAACCATAAATCAATTCTAAATCAAGTCTTCTTACAGTGTTTGCATTCAAGGTCAGGATTTTATATAAGGGTATTAGCACACAGCAGTAAATTCACTTGAAAGTGCTGTCCAAAGTGCTAATTATATTTTTAATGGGACCTCCTTTATGGGCTTTATAGTAAAAACCTGCAATTTAACTGTCAAAATGTATTACCTTTGAATGTGTCATGAACACAACCAGTCATTATGTTTTCATCTGATTGTCACTTCAAAAAGTAGGTTAAGTAGATTACCTGCGCATGTTCATCTACTCCAAAATAAGTCCAGCATCCGAACAGTGCACTGTGCACCCACCATTTGAATGGAAAGGGACATCTATTACAAGTACCATAAGTGTAATGAAATTCAGCCTACAAAGTGGTGTGTATTAATGAATGCCAAGGGAAGCCAGGCTTCTCCAAAAATTAAGAATAAAAATATAAACTAACGTATACAATTATTTGTTATTTGTGTCTCTCTGTGTTTCATAATTTCCTTGAATTCGCAAGGCAAACATGTAGTCCTTTTATCTGACATCATCAGATACATGGACTAAACATACTAAGACGGAGGGGCACTGTTTCGCTCGCTCTGATGCTTTCTCCGGTGAGATGAGTCTTGCTGTCGGTGTACATCTTGGTCAAAATTATAAATATATTCAGAGATGACCTATCAGATCTAAGAATTTGTGGGTGGGCCACTGGGGTGGTCAATCACCTTTTTTTTTACCACTACATCACTGGGAAGAAAACCCTGGCTCAGTGATATCAGCTTCGCATTGCTCTGTTCTCTCTCTTTCTGTCTTTGTCTGCCTGTCTCTCTCTCTCTCTCTCTCTCTCTCCATTTTTCACACTTATTCACCCCACTGTTTTTGATTGAATGCAAATAATTGTATTTGTGGTGTTTGAAGCTGTAGTGTTGATTCTGTAATTTGTAGTTTATTAAATTTTTGCTGATCATTTTGAATTTGTTGTATTGTTGTCCTCAGGGCACCATTGTAAATGAGACACTGGTCTAATGGGTTACCCTGAATAAGTAAAAGTTCATTAAATAAAAAAATACTGTAAATCTCACTTGGCGTTTTAATTCTCAAACCTAATCTCTTGTTATAATCTCCCTTCCACCCCGTTAATCTCACTTTATTATAATCTTAATCTGGTTTATTTGCTCTCGCTCTCTCTGTCTGTCTTGGTTTCTCTCCATTTTAATCTGTTTTGTCTAAATAAAATGGCTTTTATAGAATTACACCACTGTTTCTTTAATCTCACTGTTAATCTCACTCTGCTTTTCACAATCTACATCTCACTTTCCCTTCTGTAGTCTCGTTAGCACTCCTTTTCCTGTGAAACTCCTGCTTTGACATAATCTCCCTTTGTCACCAAGAGCATCAAAATTAGTTTCATCATCTTTTTGTGTTGGTGTGCATGTGTGAACGTACATGTCTGTGTGTGTCCATGCCTGTCTGTGTGTGCGCGCAGGTGCCGGAGGGTGTGACGGTGTTGATGAGTGCCTCCCGTAGTGCCTACTCCAAGCAGGACAGGGTGTTCCAGTTCTCCATGGAGTACCCCGTCCCAGCCTACCTGGTGGCCCTGGTGGCAGGGGACCTGCAGCATGTTGACATCGGCCCCAGGTCAGTGGGAGTGACCTGACCTAGGTCCAATACATTAATTTGAAAGCTACAGTGTTTCCCAATTATCTCTTCTTCCTCCCAAAGTGTACACTTGTTCACTTCTCTTACACACTGATTTGAAAGGAAATGACTGGCATATATGGTGGAAACTCCCACTAACCAATGCCTCCACCAATCCAAAGCTTTAAGATTTGTGGGAGGTAGTGAATGAGGAGTGTAGACTTCAGGAGAAATATACTTTATTAGAGATATTATTGTGATTCCTTTGTCATGAATGTGTCAAACTCCAGTCCTTGAGGGCTGCAGTTACTGTTGGTTGTCGTTCCTCCCTTACCTTTTAATTGATCAATTAAGTCATTGATTAGCGAGGAAGTCCACACACCATTGTTTCCTAGGTCTAAGTCGGACACCAATATAAAGGAAAGAACATCCAGCTGATACTGCGGCACTCCAGGACTTGAGTTTGACGCCCCTGTACTGATCCTATGCTTCTGCATGTGTCAATGTCCAGACCTTCACATATTTGCCCTAGTGACCTAATCAGCAGCATCACATGAGATTTTCACATGCAATGGGGCGATTCCACGCCAGCGTGGACGGGAAATATTTTTGGTATCTCAGATTGTTCTGGCAATTCTGACATAAAAACTTAAATGGGAGGAAGAATGTTCAATATGCTTTTTACATTTGTATCACAAACCATTTTTGAGAAAATCATGATGAAAGTGGCCATTTTAAGCTCCTTTTAGAACTATACATGCCTTCTGTAAGACCCTATGATCAAATCACATTTTATTTGCCACATGCGCCGAATACAACAGGTGTAGACCTTACAGTGAAATGCTTACTTACCTTAACCAACAATGCAATGTTTTTTTAAGAAATCAAAAAAAAGTGTAAAGTAAAAAATAGAAAATAGCAAATAATTAAAGAGCAGCAGTAAAATAAAATAACAGTAGGGAGGCTATATACAGGGGGTACCGGTACAGAGTCAATGTGCAGGGGCACCGGTTAGTCGAGGTAATTGAGGTAATATGTACATGTGGATAGAGTTAAAGTGACTATGCATAAATAATAAACAGAGTAGCAGCAGCATAAAAGAGGGGGTGGGGTGGGGTGGGGTGGGGGGTCCGGGTAGCCATGATTAGCTGTTCAGGAGTCTTATGGCTTGTGGGTAGAAGCTGTTAAGAAGGCTTTTGGACCTAGACTTGGAGATCCGGTACCGCTTGCCATGCGGTAGCAGAGAGAACAGTCTATGACTAGGGTGGCTGGAGTCTTTGACAATTTTTAGGGCCTTCCTCTGACACCGCCTGGTATAGAGGTCCTGGATGGCAGGAAGCTTGGCCCCAGTGATGTACTGGGCCGTACGCACTACCCTCTGTAGTGCCTTACAGCAGTTGCCATACCAGGCAGTGATGCAACCAGTCAGGATGCTCTCGATGGTGCAGCTGTATAACTTTTTGAGGATCTGAGGACCCATGCCAAATCTTTTCAGTCTGCTGAGGGGGAATAGGCTTTGTCGTGCCCTCTTCACGACTGTCTTGGTGTGTTTGGAACATGATAGTTTGTTGGTGATGTGGACACCAAGGAACTTGAAGCTCTCAACCTGTTCCACTACAGCCCTGTCGATGAGAATGGGGGCGTGCTCAGTCCTCTTTTTCCCCCCCCTGTAGTCCACAATCATCTCCTTTGTCTTGATCACGTTGAGGGAGAGGTTGTTATCCTGGCACCACACGGCCAGGTCTCTGACCTCCTTATAGGCTGTCTCATCGTTGTCGGTGATCAGGCCTACCACTGTTGTGTCATCGGCAAACTTAATGATGGTGTTGGAGTAGTGCCTGGCCATGTAGTCATGGGTGAACAGGGAGTACAGGAGGGGACTGCACCCCTGAAGGGCCCCCGTGTTGAGGATCAGCGTGGCAGATGTGTTGTTACCTACCCTTACCACCTGGGGGCGCCCGTCAGGAAGTCCAGGATCCAGTTGCAGAAGGGAGGTGTTTAGTCCCAGCGTCCTTAGCTTAGTGATGAGCTTTGAGGGCACTATGGTGTTGAACGCTGAGCTGTAGTCAATGAATAGCATTCTCACGTAGGTGTTCCTCTTATCCAGGTGGGAAAGGGCAGTGTGGAGTGCAATAGAGATTGCATCATCTGTGGATCTGTTGGGGCAGTATGCAAATTGGAGTGGGTCTAGGGTTTCTGGGATAATGGTGTTGATGTGAGCCATGACCAGCCTTTCAAAGCACTTCATGGCTACAGACGTGAGTGCTACAGGTCGGTAGTCATTTAGGCAGGTTATCTTAGTGTTATTGGGCACAGGGACTATGGTGGTCTGCTTGAAACATGTTGGTCAGTGAAGACACTTGCCAGTTGGTCAGCACATGCTCGGAGTACAAGTCCTGGTAATCCGTCTGGCCCTGCGGCCTTGTAAACGTTGAACTGTTTAAAAGTCTTACTCACATCGGCTACGGAGAGCGTGATCACATAGTCATCCGGAACAGCTGATGCTCATGCATGCTTCAGTGTTGCTTGCCTCGAAGCGAGCATAGAAGTGATTTAGCTCGTCTGGTAGGCTTGTGTCACTGGGCAGCTCGCGGCTGTGCTTCCCTTTGTAGTCTGTAATAGTGCATAATACAGACAACCGTACATGATACAGACAAGATATTGGTGTCATTATACTCCTTATAGTGTGCTCTAAAGTATGAAGTATGTCTAGATTCTGAAAGTTTTCACATAAATGTATTCAACATAAAAAAATATTAATATGAATATATCAAAACTACCCTTTTTGATTTTGTTCATTTTTAGACATATTGTTTAAAACGATAAACTCTACAAGTACATTACATTTCCAGAGTGGGCTGGCATGGAATCACCCAAATAACATGTAATTTCTATTATCTATCTATAGTGGAAACGTTTCACCAAATGGAAGCAAACGATCCGAAACGGGGAGGGACCTACCCGAACTTGTCCAATAAGAATGTTTTTTGCAATGGTTTGCACTAATTAATACAACCCTGCTCTCTTCCTCTGGCAGGAGCCGGGTGTGGGCAGAGCCGTGTATACTGACCTGTGCTGTGAGCAAGCTAGGAGGTAGCGTGGAGCGCTGGCTGAACGTGGCCGAGGACCTTTTCGGACCCTATGTGTGGGGAAGGTTAGAGCAATACAGTTATTTGTTGCATGACACAAGAATCTCAACATCAAATATAGAACAATGCATGAGGGTACAGGTCAAGGTTTCGTGACACACTTATGCATACACACACACACACACACACACACAAACTTCAGATACTCTGTCCCTTAGGCCTGGGTGAGTTGGAGTGTCTGTGTTTGTCCACGGCCTCTGTAGTATTTGGTGGAGTTGGTTTGGTTAGCTAGCCATACCAATTAATAATATAGATTACAGACAGAACACACAGACTCCCCAAAATACACTTACTTGCCAAATTCACATGGCTAGACAGTCTTCAGATTTAAATTGTACAGTGTTCGCAGTTACAGAAAAAAATTCTGCATATCTACAGTTTACATGAATTGTTAACTATACAGGGCTTTTAATAATAATAATAATAATATGCCATTTAGCAGACGCTTTTATCCAAAGCGACTTACAGTCATGCGTGCATACATTTTTATTTTTTTGTGTATGGGTGGTCCCGGGGATCGAACCCACTACCTTGGCGTTACAAGCGCCGTGCTCTACCAGCTGAGCTACAGAGGACCACATGCTAGGGAGAGGAAAGATGGAACTGAAACCATACAAAAACGTGCTATAAAAGAGAACAAACCAGAACACTGTACCAGTCAGTCAATTGAAATTGAAATTTAAGTATGAAAACTGTATGCACTCACTAACTGTAAGTCACTCTGGATAAGAGCGTCTGCTAAAAAATGACTATAAAAAATAAAAAATTGAGGAGGTACATTTCATGTCATGTCATACATTTAAAAAGTGATGTTACTTCCTAATGAGAATTGTACGATTCTTTAATTGAATTTCAATGCACTTCCTGGGGTTGCGTCCCAAATGGCACAATATTCCCTATATAGTGCACTACTTTCACCCTATTCCTTATATAGTGCATTTCTTTTGACATCAAAACTATTGCATAATATAGGGAATATGGTGTAATTTGGGAAGCAGCCCTGAATTGACCACATGACAACCATCGTATCATTCCGCCACGCTGGTCACACACAGGTACGACATAGTGTTCCTGCCTCCGTCGTTCCCCATCGTGGCCATGGAGAACCCCTGCCTCACCTTCATCATCTCCTCCATCCTGGAGAGCCGGGAGTTCCTGCTGATCGACGTCATCCATGAGATCGCCCACGGCTGGTTCGGCAACGCGGTCACCAACGCCACCTGGGAAGAGATGTGGCTGAGCGAGGGACTGGCCACCTACGCACAGAGACGCATCACTACCGAGGCCTACGGTGTGTATACGCACGCTCACACACACACACATCTAGGCACAGAGGCACATGGTGTGTATATATAGCATACACAGACACACCTAAGTACAGAGGCGCATCACTACAAACACAAACAAACCAAAATGCCTACAGCTAATCCCCCGTCCCTGTGTTTCCCCAGGTGAGGCCTTCACCTGTCTGGAGACTGTGTTCCGTCTAGACGCCCTGCACAGACAGATGCGTCTCCTAGGAGACAACAACCCTGTCAGCAAGCTGCAGGTCAAATTTGAGCCAGGTATGGATGAAAGACTCACTCAGACACGCACGCACACACACAAACAGTCGGTGTAATTTAGCTTCACAAATAAAAACATATTTTTTTAAATGAGGACTACTGTTACTGTTTTATTATCTTTCATTCTCTCTCCCTCATCTGTTTTTTTCTACCCTTAGGTATTAATCCCAGTAGTCTGATGAACTTGTTCACTTACGAAAAAGGCTTTTGCTTCGTCTCGTACCTCTCTCAACTCTGTGGCAATGTCAAGCGCTTCGACAGCTTCCTGAGGGTAAGAGAGCGCGTGAACACACACACACACGCACAGAGACACACCACATCACTTGAAACTGTGTCATGTTCTCTCAGGCCTACATAGAACAGTTTAAGTTCAGCAGTGTTGTGGCCCAGGACCTGCTCGATTTCTTCCTGGGCTTCTTCCCGGAACTAAAGGAGAGCTGTGTGGCCCAGAGAGAGGGTGAGTCCGTCACTCACATTACCAGTTCATGGGAAAAGGACATATACGCCCACCAAACTTGTTCAAGTGCTGGATAGCATTGTCGAATTGTTGTCTGTTTTTGTGTGAACCCACAGAACTGAAGAGGTATATACTTGTTCCTCGCTCTATTTCTCCCTCTCAGGGTTGGAGTTTGAGCGGTGGCTGAACGGTTGTGGCCCCCCCCTGTGTGAACCGGACCTCTCGGCTGGTGGGGTTCTGACCGGTCCCGTCCAGAGTCTGTGTGACCTGTGGGCCAGCGAACCCCCAGACCCTGAGGCCATCGCAAACTTTAACCTCTCCTCTTGGAGCACCTTCCAGACTGTTCTCTTCCTGGACCGACTGCTGGACCGCTCGCCCCTCTCACACGGTAGGTACCAGACCATGAGCCGTATGTATAAAGCGTCTTACTGTAGGAGTGCTGATTTAGGATCAGTTTTTCCCTTCAGATAATAATAAGTAAGACGTACAATGAGGGGAAAAAAGTATTTGATCCCCTGCTGATTTTGTACGATAGAATAACAACAACAAAATCCAGAAAAACGCACGTCAAAAATGTTATAGATTGATTTGCATTTTAATGAGGGAAATAAATATTTGACCCCACTGCAAAACATGACTTAGTACTTGGTGGCAAAACCCTTGTTGGCAATCAGAGGTCAGACGTTTCTTGTAGTTGGCCACCAGGTTTGCACACATCTCAGGAGGGATTTTGTCCCACTCCTCTTTGCAGATCTTCTCCAAGTCATTAAGGTTTCGAGGCTGACGTTTGGCAACTCAAACCTTCAGCTCCCTCCACAGATTTTGTCACCTTCTCACCAAGCTGCTTGGCGATGGTCTTGTAGCCCATTCCAGCCTTGTGTAGGTCTACAATCTTGTCCCTGACATCCTTGGAGAGCTCTTTGGTCTTGGCCATGGTGGAGAGTTTGGAATCTGATTGATTGCTTCTGTGGACAGGTGTCTTTTATACCGGTAACAAACTGAGATTAGGAGCACTCCCTTAAAGAGTGTGCTCTTAATGTCAGCTCGTTACCTGTATAAAAGACACCTGGGAGCCAGAAGTCTTTCTGATTGAGAGGGGGTCAAATACTTATTTCCCTCATTAAAATGCAAATCAATTTATAACATTTTTGAAATGCGTTTTTCTGGATTTTGTTGTTGTTATTCTGTCTCTCAAATAAACCTACCATTCAAATTATAGACTGATCATTCTTTGTCAGTGGGCAAATGTACAAAATCAGCAGGGGATCAAATACTTTTTTTCCCTCACTGTACATGGACGGGGGGACCTGATCCTTGATCAGCACTCCTACTCTGAGACACTTTATGAATACGGGCCCTTGCATAAAATACATGAGCGCCGTGTATTTCTGTGTTTTTGGGACTATTCCATTGGTTCCGTTGTACCAGGGAAAATGTTGCATAAATCAAGCTACCCCAGAGAGTGATGGGATGTTGTGTGTGTGTCAGAGGTTATGGGTCAGTTGTCACGCTGCTACTCGGCCCAGCTGGATGAGATGAACGCCGAGGTGCGGATCCGCTGGCTGCAGATCGTGGTGCGGAACAGCTTCTACCCTGACCTGCCCCGCATCCGCGGCTTCCTGCACAAACACGTGAGTGGTGACTGAACCAGACGGAGAGGGCACGTCCCAAATGGCACCCTATTCCCTATGTAGTGTGTATATATAGGGAATAGGGTGCCATTTGGGATGCAGGTAGAGTCACTATGGCCCTGTTCAAATACTACTGCTGAGCGGTTAACTATTTTTAAATTATTATTATTTTATTTTTTTACAAATTGACTGACGTCGGTTCAATTATTTGAGTTCAATTTCGTTCTGTTTTTTTCTGTGAGCTCAATGTGTAGTTTCTCTAGAGAGAAATCAGAACAAATCCCGAACTGTGCGATGTAGTAGGGAGTTGTAGTTTCCAACAGGCCAATATTCTACATACACTACATGACCAAAAGTATGTAGACACCTGCTCGTCTAACATCTCATTCCAAAATCATGGGCATTAATATGGAGTTGGTCCCCCCTTTGCTGCTATAACAGAGTCCACACTTCTGGGAAGGCTTTCCACTAGATGTTGGAACATTGCTGCAGGGACATGCTTCCATTCAGCCACAAGAGCATTAGTGAGGTAGAGCACTGATGTTGGGTGATTAGGCCTGGTTTGCATTCAGCGTTCCAATTCATCCCAAAGGTGTTCGATGGAGTTGAGGTCAGGGCTCTGTGCAGGCCAGTCAAGTTATTCCACACCGATCTCGACAAACCATTTCTGTATGGACCTCGCTTTGTGCACAGGGGCATTGTCATGCTTTGCAGTTAGCACTATGCATTCAGGCAGGTAGCGTTCTCCTGGCATCCGTCAAACCCAGATTAGTCCGTCGGACTGTCAGATGGTGAAGCGTGATTCATCACTCCAGAAGAACGCTACCTGGGGGGGGGGGCACAAATGCAATTTCAGAATTTGGGGGCCCACCCGTCAATAGTGAAAGTTGTGCCTGTCAGCAACGGGTGTGGCTGAAATACAATGACCATAATCCATTGCGCCTACTTGTCCGGTCTGTGTGGGGCAGACACAGAGAAGGAAAGAAGAGACTGAAGAACGTGCGATCTATACACCTGTCAGCAACAGGGTGTGGCTGAAATAGCCGAATCCACTAATTTGAAGGAGTGTCCACATACTTTTGTATATATAGTGTATTTTAGCGCAGTAAAGGTAATTAACTACAATGACCATAATCCATTGCGCGCCTACTTGTCCGGTCTGTGTGGGGCAGACACAGAAAGGGAGAGCAGAAGGAGAGAAGAGACAGAAGAATGCACGATCGAGAGGGATAGAGAGTAGTTGCTTCCCGAGGTACTGTATTGGTATTCAGCAGTCATAAAAGTATGCCTTATTTACTTTAAAGAACTACTAAAATAGGGATTTTGTCAGACCGCATAGGCAACAACTCTATAGAGATGAGGTGATGACTTGGAATGAAATAATAAAGTCATCAAATAAAACAAATGTAATATAAACAACAACTGAAATATTTGTATAATGTAATGTGAATGTAATAAGTGATAAGTAGTAATGGGCAGTCACTACCATCATGGGACTTTTATTAGTTGTTGTATTCTGTGTTACAGCGTTCAACCTGTGAATGTAATGTTTTAAAAAGTCAAAGGGGCGGTGCAGTTCAATGTGATTTTCCTGTTTTTTAAATGATATTTCTACACTATGAGGTCGAAATAACACTCTGAAATTGTGAACATTATGATAATACCCATTTTTGTGTAAGAGCGGTGTAAGAGCTCCCAGCCTGTTCAGTTGGGATGGAACTTTTGGCCCACATCATGATGTCACAATGTGATCTGATTATAATAGACTAATGACTGTTCATCTCGGTAAGGGGGTGGGCTCTAGACAATCCAATCAGCCAATCAGGGCTGTTACGTTAATATCTTCAAAGATTTTCCTAACGATCAGACTGAGCATTTCAAGGGCCAAGGGAGGCTCAGGAAAATAAAAGATACAAAATATATTTTTTGGGGTTATTTTCATGAAATGAACAGTGATTTATTAGACATACAGTGATTTAAAAATAAAGTTACAAAGCTTTTTCGACATGGGTCAGCATCACTAACTGATACAATCCGTTTCCACTAGCATTGCTATATTCTACAAAGACGCTAGCCAGGATATTCTGGACGTTGCTAAATAACCAGCTAACAAACTGAACTATCACTTTTTTTTATCACTAAACAATGCATCCTTCCTTCCTCATATACTTACAATAATCACGGATCTATAAGTAATTGGTTAGGTGAAAGCAAGGTTACCACCCTATTACTTTCCAATTCAACCAATTCAAGATCTGTAATTAATTCATGGAAGATAGAAAAGCAGGATGTGTTTATACAGGGACTCTGACTGATCTATCTGCAGCTAGATATTTGTAAGTCAACTCGATGACTTTCCATCAGGGTTTCCCAAACTCAATCATGGGGCCTACCAGGGGCACGTTTTAGTTTTTGCACTAGCACTACACAGCTGATTCAAATAATCAAAGCTTGATGATGAGTAGTCATTTAGCAGACACTTGAGAGCGGCTTACAGGAGCAATTAGGGTTAAGTGCCTTGCTCAAGGGCACATCGACAGATTATTCACCTAGTCATCTCGAGGATTCGAACCAACGACCTTTCGGTTACGGGTCCAACGCTCTTAACCGCTAGGCTACTAGTATTTAAGGGGAGGGATGGCAGGATGGGGATGGAGGGAACATTTCAACAAATGTTTCCTAGAAGATTGAATTAGATTATACTATTCTCCATTCAGACACTAATTTGGATTAAATGTAGCATTTATTTATTAAAATGTAATATTTATTTATTACATTTATTACAACAACACACATAGAAGGCCCTTCATTTACAGTTGAGCTTTTTCTTTAAAAATAGCCTTTAAAATTGTTTTTATTTATAACACTGCTTTTATGCTGCCAGCCGAGTAACCCAGGCCATTCACTCCAGTTCTAGGAAGTCGAAGCAGAAGCAGTGAAATTACACCGTCAGGCAGGCTGTGGACACTTGAGTATTTATTTGAGTGTAAATGGGTGACAGGAAGTGGTGATTTCTCAGTTGCGCATTATATAGGAGCTACACTGGGGCATCAGGAAAACAGTGGGGTTTTTACCTGCTACACTGGACACGTAACTTTTGGCCAACGCAAGAAGATTGTTCTCAGGCCTGAGCTGCACCTCAAAATCTTTAAAATAGAACCAGAGTGTAATTCTGCACAGAGCGGCGTGAGGCTCTCATGGAGCCAGCGTGCTTACACCCAGGTTTTTATTTAAATTAATAGGGGTGTCTCACACTCTGCAGAAGTTATGAGTCTAGTGTAGCAGGCCAGATACTCGTTTGTAATGGCCAAATGGCATCAAACGGTGCGTCTCCCCTCAGCAGTTAACATTCTCCATAATGACACTGTGTGTAATGCTATGTATGTTGTGTGTCTAATTTAACAATTCAAAAAAGCACTTGCACATCTGTGTTAGCTTTTTTCAGGTGCATGGGAATAATTTGATAATATCTGGCCAGTGTCTTTAAAAAAAATGTATTCCAACTTACGTGTCGGCCTGTTTTGCGGCAGAGCTTTTAAAGACACATTTCTATTTTTTTGAACATGTAATGCACAGCAAAACAATTTTAACCTTAGCTTGTATTTTTATCTTATCAGACGTCGAGGATGTACACGGTGCCACTATACGAGGACCTTTGTTCCGGGGTGATGAAGTGCTTTGCGGCCGAGGTTTTCTACCAGACACAGGCCCGCCTCCACCCCAACCTCCGACGGACACTCCAGCAGATCCTGTTCCAGACCAGCGCCTTACCCACCACCACCTCTGTCCCCTCCCTGCTACACCCCACCCCCTCGTCCCCCAGCCCCACCCCCGTTGGCCAACCAGGGCCTGCCGACCCCCCCACTACTGGTACTATCGCACTACGTGACGTCAACGTGTCTGCCTGAGAGGCCCAGAGAAGAGAAGAGAGACATACATACACTGTGAGAGACATAGAGAGAGGGGGTGGGGGGGCATGTTGAAAAAGGTGAAGAACTGGAAGACTTGAAATGACTGCAGTGTCAGCCAGCCATCATCCGTGCTTGACTGAGACTGACGGGGAGTGATGAAGGACCAGTGGGTTCATACACATGCACACACACATGCACACACAGTTACACACATATGCACACTATGTGTGTGTAAATGCGTATTTATATATTGAGTCTGATTTTTGTAAGCTAACCTTTGAAGCCTCTCTGGGAAGGACAATGCTGTGTGTGTGTGTGTGTGTGTGTGTGTGTGCGCGCGTGCGTATGCGCTTTATGAATGGAGGTAGCCATCTATTGACTGTTTGCACACATGTCGTGGAATAGATCAAATACATCGAACGGCTGGGGGTCCCTGAGGAGAGGTTTGAGAACTGCTGCCATAGAGCTATGGTCAAAAGTAGTGCACTACATAGGAATGGCACTATGGACCCCAGGGCCCATAGCATTTGGGACGCAACCTCTGTATGCTCCGTTCAACACTACACACTTTAACCTTGCCTTTAATAATTACAATCCATTATTTCCACATTTGGAATATGCAACAGGAAGGCTTATCCAGGAATGGAAGTGGAATTCCCCCCCTCACTCTCTTCCCTTTACACCTGGGCTGTGTCTCAGTAGTCTAAACATCCTTCCTCGCCTCGTCTCCTTGCCTTCATCTGCACTTATCTGAAATTATTGAAGATTTACTGAAATGAAAGTCCAGTCGGCTCAATGATGGATTGGGCTTATTTTACAGTTTAGCTTTTACTTATCAACTCTCTTAAGTAGGGAAGGATGGTAGGCCTACTACTGTACACTATTGAGACGCAGCCCCATAGTGCAAAACCCTCTCCCGTAGGGTTGTCGGTGAGAAGGGAGAGGGTAAGGCCACACATGTGCCTTCAAACTGGAGCTCTGCTATTCATCTGGGTAGCGTTCAGTCATGTAACGTGCATTCACCTACCCAGGTGGCGTGACCTTCCGATGGGAATATATTGAACAGACATGCTTCTTTGTCCTGAAGAATAGGGATTCGTTGTCGGCTATATAGAAGCCATTTCTTATGTTGAGATCGAACGTGGCACCCTCCTGAAAGCAACCCTTGTCAACAGTGACAGTGTCAGCCTTCTGGACTTCTCTTGTTCAGGCTTTCTTGCCATTTCCAAAGCTATAGATAATTTCGATTCTGTGATTGACTAAAGAGGGGAGGGTGTGTGTTTGGGGGGGGGATGTCAATGACGTATTAATGAATGGCTGGGCTGAAATGTTGAACAATTATTTTGTACACATTCTGTTTAAACGTTTCCTCCCAACATTATTATTTATGAATTGTGAACGGGCTGTACTTCTCAGCATAGCAATGTGAGGGGCAGAATGTTTGTGTTTTGATGATTACATGAGATTACATGGTTAAACGGTGACTGCACTGGCATTCTTCAGTTATCCTCTGATGCCTTACTTAATGTACAGTATTGTTACTGTACAACACAGAGGGGATAGACTAGCAGGTTTGTCTCCAATGTTTTACAAGTCATAAAAAAGCCTTGAGACTCAACATTGACATTTGCCTCTAGACCGGTGCTTTTTAAAACAAACTGCGGTGATATTGTGAGTAAAAAGGAAAAAGTGTAAACTCAGGTGATGTAGGCCGATTAGTCCACAAGAGGGCACACTGATGCTTTTATATTTTAGGCCTAGCGGTGGCATCTGCATGGCACTTGGGCCCAGTTTCCCAAAAGCATCTTAACGCTAAGTTCATCGTTAGAACCTTCGTAGGAGCATCGTTAAATCTTCAAGCTGTTTCCTAAAAAACTATCGTTAGTAAAGTTGCACTTAAATAAAGGGGGCATATAAGCAGACAATGAAAGCTCTTACAATATTCAATCATTACATTTCTCTAAAACAGGTTATAGGCTACATGTGCACCACCAAGTCAGAACAGTAGGCTAAGTTATGAGGGGGGGAAAGGGACCCAATTATTAGGGTGAGGCACATGGGCTGCTAACAGCTTACTACACAACATACACTTAGTATTACTTTTTAGCTACAGTATACATATCTCCCTGGCATATTACATCATTTATGCAGCAGCATACAATACATTTTTGGACTCACCTTGTTGTGCTGTGCTCACTTGAACAGGAAAGTGGAGTGGCGGTCCTTGTGGGAAAATTTTGTCATCAAAGTCTGGCATTCTCTGGATAAACATTCAATACCATGGGCCAGAAAAGTTGGAATACATTGGCCATGCTTTCAATCCAGCATGACTTCTGCTGTGTTCAAAACAACTGGAAACTCGGAACTGGGAAATCTCAGACTTCAGTGAGTTCAAGACAACTGGGAACTCCGAAAAAAAACAAGGTTGATTCATGACGTCAGTGATCTTCAGGTCGGAGCTCTAGAAAGATGCCTGAGTTTCTGACTTGGAATTCCGAGTTGGATGACCGTTCAAAACGTATTTTCCCAGTCGGAGCTCGTTTTTTTTTTAGCTAAACGTGGGGCTCAAAACAGGTCGCCACTGACCACACAGAACAGTTACTCACTAGAACTGCCTCTGCAACGCAATGCTGCAAGGCAATCACAGCGTTCCATTGGAAATTAATATACTTCTGGTGTACCAAAATACAATGACGCTGTCGGTCTGATCGAGGCATTATCGCCTCGATCACACCTACAGTGTCATTGCGCAAAATGGTACGCCGCATCATCTGGATATGTGTGCAACAAAGGTTCAACATTCACCTTCTGCTACCGTTTCTGTCAAGCTATCTACGCATACAATTTGATGCATACGTTCAATAAATCCAACATATGCAACACACAGAACGCACTGCAACTGCCTCTGCAACGCAATGCTGCAAGGCAAATGTAGTATTCCATTGGAAATGAATGTACTTCTGGTGTACCAAAAAGCAATGACGCTGTCGGTGTGATCAGTGAGGGAAAAAAGTATTTGATCCCCTGCTGATTTTGTACGTTTGCCCACTGAAAAATAAATGATCAATCTATAATTTTAATGGTAGGTTTATTTGAACAGTGAGAGACAGAATAACAACAAAAAAATCCAGAAAAACGCATGTCAGAAATGTTATAAATTGATTTGCATTTTAATGAGGGAAATAAGTATTTGACCCCTCTGCAAAACATGACTTAGTACTTGGTGGCAAAACCCTTGTTGGCAATCAGAGGTCAGATGTTTCTTGTAGTTGGCCACCAGGTTTGCACACATCTCAGGAGGGATTTTGTCCCACTCCTCTTTGCAGATCTTCTCCAAGTCATTAAGGTTTCGAGGCTGACGTTTGGCAACTCGAACCTTCAGCTCCCTCCACAGATTTTCTATGGGATTAAGGTCTGGAGACTGGCTAGGCCACTCCAGGACCTTAATGTGCTTCTTCTTGATTTAGATTTTAGTCATTTAGCAGACGCTCTTATCCAGAGCGACTTACAGTTAGTGAATGCATACATTATTTTTTTCATACTGGCCCCCCGTGGGAATCGAACCCTCAACCCTGGCGTTGCAAACGCCATGCTCTACCAACTGAGCTACATCCCTGCCGGCCATTCCCTCCCCTAACCTGGACGACGCTGGGCCAATTGTGCGCCGCCCCATGGGTCTCCCGGTCGCGGCCGGCTACGACAGAGCCTGGATTCGAACCAGGATCTCTAGTGGCACAGCTAGCACTGTTCTTGAGCCACTCCTTTGTTGCCTTGGTCGTGTGTTTTGGGTCATTGTCATGCTGGAATACCCATCCACGACCCATTTTCAATGCCCTGGCTGAGGGAAGGAGGTTCTCACCCAAGATTTGACGGTACATGGCCCCGTCCATTGTCCCTTTGATGCGGTGAAGTTGTCCTGTCCCCTTAGCAGAAAAACACCCCCAAAGCATAATGTTTCCACCTCCATGTTTGACGGTGGGGATGGTGTTCTTGGGGTCATAGGCAGCATTCCTCCTCCTCCAAACACGGCGAGTTGAGTTGATGCCAAAGAGCTCCATTTTGGTCTCATCTGACCACAACACTTTCACCCAGTTCTCCTCTGAATCATTCAGATGTTCATTGGCAAACTTCAGACGGGCCTGTATATGTGCTTTCTTGAGCAGGGGGACCTTGCGGGCGCTGCAGGATTTCAGTCCTTCACGGCGTAGTGTGTTACCAATTGTTTTATTAGTGACTATGGTCCCAGCTGCCTTGAGATCATTGACAAGATCCTCCCGTGTAGTTCTGGGCTGATTCCTCACCGTTCTCATGATCATTGCAACTCCACGAGGTGAGATCTTGCATGGAGCCCCAGGCCGAGGGAGATTGACAGTTATTTTGTGTTTCTTCCATTTGTGAATAATCGCACCAACTGTTGTCACCTTCTCACCAAGCTGCTTGGCGACGGTCTTGTAGCCAATTCCAGCCTTGTGTAGGTCTACAATCTTGTCCCTGACATCCTTGGAGAGCTCTTTGGTCTTGGCCATGGTGGAGAGTTTGGAATCTGATTGATTGCTTCTGTGGACAGGTGTCTTTTATACAGGTAACAAGCTGAGATTAGGAGCACTCCCTTTAAGAGTGTGCTCCTAATCTCAGCTCGTTACCTGTATAAAAGACAACTGGGAGCCAGAAATCTTTCTGATTGAGAGGGGATCAAATACTTATTTCCCTCATTAAAATGCAAATCAATTTATAACATTTTTGACATGCGTTTTTCTGGATTTATTTGTTGTTATTCTGTCTCTCACTGTTCAAATAAACCTACCATTAAAATTATAGACTGATCATTTCTTTGTCAGTGGGCAAACGTACAAAATCAGCAGGGGATCAAATACTTTTTTCCCTCACTGTAGGTGTAAATTACATACATAAAATTTAGTTTTATATTGGATATTCAGTTTTCTCCCATCAATAGCTATTGAATCAAACATAGTATATTCTGAATTGGGATGAGGGAG